ACTCCCCGCGCCCCCAGCGCCTGCCTCAAGCACTCACGGCTCCGGCTCCGCTCGAGCACCGGGGATGAGGGATGAAGAAGGAGGCTGAGGAGGCTCCAGAGGCAGCAGCAGCCGGCACCAGCCCCGCCCCACAACCTCCGACCTCGCACGCCGGCCCAGATACGGAGCGCGCCAGCCACCAAAACAGCGCGCGCGAAAGCGGCGCTGCCGTCGGACTGGGTGCAGGACGGGCGCGGAGCCTCCGGCGAAGCGGAGCCTGGGAGGGGCGCAGTGCTGACCAGCCGAGGGCACAGTGTGGGGCCAGGAGCGGATAGCGGGAGCGGGGACCCCGGGCGGGGCAAGGCCAGGATGAGTCGGGGGCGGGGCGAGGACCCGAGAACGGGGGCAGGGGCGGAGCCTAGGTGCGTAAGAGGCGGGGCCCGGAGCGAGGTGGGTCCAGGGTGGGGCAAAGTCCTGGGCGAAGTCGCAGCTGGGGCCGATTTGAGCCCGTGGGTAGCGCCTGGGCGGATCCGAGAGCGGTGAGGCGCAGTCAGGGGCTGGGCGAGGGCGGGGTAGGCGGGAAGTGTGAGCCTGTGGGCGGGGGTCTGAGCCTGTGGGCTGGGGTCTGAGCCTGTAGGCGGGGTCTGGGCCTGCGGGCGGGGGGTCTGAGCCTGTGGGCGGGGGTCTGGGCCTGTGGGCGGGGTCTGGGTCTGTGAGCCTGGTATGGCCTGTGGGCGGGGTCTGGGCCTGTGGGTGGGGGTCTGGGCCTGTGGGCGGGGTCTGGGTCTCTGAGCCTGGTATGGCCTGTGGGCGGGGTCTGGGCCTGTGGGCGGGGTCTGGGCCTGTGGGCGGGGCGAACTCGGGTCAGACCTCCCGTCGGTGGTCGGCCGGCAGGGCCGCGGTATGTGGCAGGCGCTCGGAGGAGGAGGGATGTCAGGACCCGCCCGGCCGCCCCCCCTTGGCAGTGTGAGGTCGCTGGGCCGGCCAGAAGACGCCGCCGTCAGGCTCCTCACAGCGTGGCCCCTTTTCTCCCCGTTCAGCATGCGTGGGTTTGCTGACCAGGGCAGTTTGTCCTTTGAACCCGTTTCGGGGAACGTATTTCCAGGAAGTCTTCAACAGATTCACCTGTCTGCGCTGGGAAACGGCCTCCCGGCCACATGGACCCGCCATGCCACCACACTTCCCAGAAAGGAGGGACATGCAGGCACTTGTACCGCCAGAAATAACTGATGCTTTTGCCAGGTGTGACAAGGACGTGGTGGTCGTGAAGAACGTGCTCCTGTCTTGAGAGGCGCGCACGTGGGTGCCGCCCCTTCTGGCACCCACCGTTCAACAATGAAAGCCCAGGAACCCGGACACCATGGACACCCCAGCCACGCAGACATCCTGCTGCCCCAGGCTCTCCGCCTTCCCTCTCCTGTTTGATCCAGTGAAACTCTGGTTTAAGGGACGTGCACCACCTGAAGAGCAGGAGTGCAGAGGGCAGGCAATGGCTGCAGCCCTAATGCCTGGTCCCCACATCATGGGGATCCTTCCTTCCATTTGCCCCACCTGGTGGGGTGGACTTGGAGCCCCACTCAGCACTCCCCACTGGCAGCCCCCAATTCTGTGTGAGCCAGAAACAGGAGCCCGAGTCCAGTCCATCACAAAATGGCACCAGTTTCAGCCTAAGCAAAGGCAGGTCTGCGTTAATTTCTGCACCCAACTCCAAAACTCCCCCCAGATTATGAAATGTCACGAGCCTGTTGGTGACCTTTCCCGGTGGTCCAGGCCCCCATGGGGAGGATAGTGACACAGTGGGGCACTCTCATGCCCACAAGGGTGAAGGCACCGCTAAGACACAGTGGTCTGACCCCTGGAGACCCCCGGCTTCCAAGTGCTTTATTAGTTATTTGCAAACGAGGAGGGCGCCCTTGGCTAGGGCACAGGATGCCAGTGGCTGCTACTTCAGAAGCTTCCTCATGGTGCCCAGGGATGGGCTGCGGTATTCCCGCCCAAAATGGTTCCAGTGGTTTAGGTAGTTAAAGAGCTGGTAGAGCTGCAGCCGCCTGTCAAACCCGGGGGCCTTGGGGATCTTCCTGTGGTAGGCGGTGAAGAAGGACCTGGGAAACCCCCCGAACATCAAGGCAATTGCCAGTTCAAACTCTGAGTGGCCGTAGAAGGAAGCCGGGTCATAAATGATGGGCCCCATGTCATCCTCGGCCACGTTTCCCGACCAGAGGTCCCCGTGGAGCAGGGCAGGGATGATCTCCAGGCCACAAAACAGATCCGGGATCTTCACCTAGGAAAACAAACGTGCACAGAGGTATCATGGGACTCAGGGGCCACGATCTCATTATCCATCCAGGACTTGGAAATAAGGCAAAGGTGACCACTTGTCCGTCCAGGGTCACACTGCGTGTCAACCAAACCAAGGATAAGAGTCCCCTAACTTCAGGGGAATGTAAACATCTGACTGACTATTTAGCACTAATTTAGGTCTAGGCATTTCACACTTCTATAAAGTTTAATGTGGGGCATTGACACTGTTCAGTAGAGAAGACAGCCCCGAAGGTTACGGTTTGGTTGTCCTAGGCGACATGAAGCAGTTTGTACCTAGCACTTTCTCCACTACTCTTTCATTTCACTGCACAGATATGTCTGCATCTCTTTTGTATCCTGCTAGCTACTTCAGTAATGGGTTAAATAAAATCTCTTTCATCATGGTCACCACAGGTTGATAGGAGAATTCCATTTTTAACATTTTGAGAGTTGTGTTTTGAAAGCAGTCACTCTGGGGCACCTGCTTTCACTAGGCTGGGAGACACTTGCCCCTGGGCAGAGAAGGAGGGACAGGGTATGACTGAACAAGCGTTGTTCAGCAATAAAAGTAGTAATACCTGCCACCTTTCATGAGCCAGGCACTGTTATTTCAATCACCTCCACTTCACATGATGACACCTAGACACACCTCAGAAGAAAGGACTTTTTCTAGTTTAGAAAAATCAGCCATCGAGAACCCAGTGGAGCACAGTTCTCTGACACACATGGGGTCACTGTGAGTTGGAATCAACTTGACGGCAATGGGTTTGGGTTTTTTTGTTTGTTTGTTTGTTTGTATGTTTTTTGGGTTTTTTCCAGATAAGGCAAGATTAAGGCTAACCTGGTGGCCTAGCAGGTGGGAGATGCACTCGGGAGTCAAGCATGTCCTCAGCTCCCCATCAAGCCACTACTCAGGCGCTTAAACGTGTCCATGACGTGGGCAGCTCTGCTCCAAGCCCCGCGTGCCCTGCTCTGGCTGCAGTCTACCAGACAGCTCCACACCGATGGGGTGGGCTTGTGAGAAGACACCCCCTTTCCCAGAAAGGCCAACCCCACCTGTAGCTGTGACCAGAGCTCCCGTGCCTCTCTGTCAGCGTAGTCCTTCTCAACGAGGTCCAGCTGCGCCTGGAGCCGGTGCCGCGTGAAGAAGGTCGGCCAGTCCTCCTGCCACTCATTCACCTGGGCAGCGAGAGGAAAGAGGCCCGCACTGTGGCCAGCAGCCATGGGACAGAGACGCACATGGAATTCTGCCTGAAGCCTGAAGCAACCACTGAAAGAACCGAGCAAATGGTTACAGCTAACAGGCCAACAAAGGAGAGGAAAGGGACTCAAAAATACTCGGTTAATCCAAAAGAAGGCAGAGCAAAAGGAAACCGGGAACAAAGAACAGATGAGATAAATAAAAACAAACAGCAAGACGATAGACTTCACCCTAACCATATCAGCAAGACCCAACTGTAAACTCTCTACAAGAAATGCACTTTAAATGTAAAAGGCAGAGAAAGATCTCAAATCAACGACCTCAGCTTCTACCTTAAGCAACTAGAAAAGAGAAAATTAAACCCAAAGTAGAAAAAAAGGAAACAATAAATATCTTATTAGAAAGCAATGAAATAGAAAACAGAAAAACAATCAGAAAAAAAGCAACGTAACAAAAAGCTTTTGTTACTGCAATGGCGAGTCTGAGCCACCTGCCGCAGAAGCCAATACTGAAACGGGTGAGGTGAGCAGCGAGAGTGTTTTATTCTATATTGATATACAGGAGACAGAGGGAAATGAGCTCCTCCAAAAGACCTGTCTCCCCCTTGGAGACTCGCTGAAAGTTTTTATATGGAAAAGATTATAGCTTTTTTCCGGTGGTTACATTCTGCACCTGGCAATCCTTGAAGTTAGTCTTGCCCCGTTATTATGTTATTATCACGTCGCAGATGAGTAACTCTACCCTCCAAGGTCATTCTACCTCTCAAAGAGAAACTCAGTTAAACTTCAAAGTCATGGGAAAGCAAGGGGGAGGGGATAAAAGTCATAGGAGCATGCAAAAGTGAACAATGCAAGCTAGGCATTAACAATACCACAATCCCCAGGAAGCTAGGCCTTACTGCTGGCAGTAAACAATAAACGAAATTTCCACGCAGCCCCTTTCACTTTGAGAAGATCAGTAAAACTGATAAACTTCTACCCAGCTTTATCAGGAAAAAAACAAGGAAGACACATTATCAATATCAGGAATGAGAGCGGTGACATCACAGATATTGAAAGTATAATAAGGAAAGATTATAAACACCTTTATGTCAATAGATTCAACAACTTAAATTGACAGACTCCTTGAAAGACAAACTGCCAAAGCTCAGTCAAAAAAGAAGTAAATGACATGAATAGCCCTGTAACTATTAAAGAAATTGAATTTGTAGTTAAAATCCTTCCCACAAAGAAAATTCCAGGCCTAGATGACTTCACTGGTGAATTCGAACGAACATCTAAAGAAAAATAATAATAATTCCAACTTTATGTAAACTCTTCCAGAAAATTGAAGAGAGACTACATCCCGACTCATTCTTTGAGGCCAGCATTACTTTCCCAAAACCAGACAAAGACATTACAAAAACCCAAAACTACAGAAGAACATCCTTCATAGACACAAATGCAAACATTCTAAACAAAATTTTAGCAAAGAGAATCCAACAATATATAAAAAGGTTCTTACTTCACAACCAAGTGGAGTTGGTTTAATATTCACAAAATAATCCGATGCAATTCACTATATTAACAAATTAAAAAAGAAAAATCATATGTTCATCTCAATAGATGCAGAAAAAGCATGTGACCAAATCCAATACCTATTCCTAAAAACTGTCAGAAAACTAGGAATAGAAGGGAAATTCCTCAACCTTATAAAGAACATCCAAGGAAAACCTACAGCTAATCTCACATTTAATAGTGAGAAACTGAAAGCTTTCCCCCTAAGATCAGGAACAAGACCGGGATGCCTGTTCTAACCACTTCTATTCAACATCGTACTGGAAGCTGGAAGTTGAAAGGAAGAAAGAAGAAAAGAAATTAAAGGCATACAGATTTCAAAGAAAGAAGTAAAACTGTCTTTATTCACAGACAACGTGATTGTTTATGTAGAAAATATGATGGAATTTCAAAAAGAGAGAGAAGAAAAGAAAGCCACAAGAACTAATAAGTGAATTTAGCAAAGTTGCAGAATACAGATCTATACAAAAATCAACTGAAAACAATCAAGTGTATTTCTATATACTGGACACAAAAAACTGTAAATTTAAATTTTAAAAACTACCATTTTAATAGCATTAAAAATGGGATAAATATGACAAAAGATATGAAAGACCTGTCCACAGAAAACTTCAAAACATTGCTGAGAGAAATTAAAGAAGACCTAAATAAGTGGAGAGCTATTCCATGTTCACATATGAAAAGTCTCAATATTATTAAGTTGTCCGTTCTCCACAAATTGATCTATAGATTCTATGCAATTCCAAAATAATCCCAGCAGGCTTTTTTTTTCTTATTTTAGAAACTGACATGCTGATTCTAAAATTTATATGGAAATGCAAAGGCCTTAGAATAGCCAAAAAAGCTCTGAAAAATAAGAGCAGGTTGGAGGACTCACACATCCTGATTTCAAGACTTATTATGTAATCAAGACAGTGTGATACTGGCATAAAGATAGACAAGCAGATCAGTGGGACAGAGCAGAGAATCCAAAACCAACCCACACATGTACCAGACAAGTGTTCTTCACCAAAGGTACAAAGGCAATTCAGTGGGGAAAGGACAGTCTTTTCAACAAATGGTGCTGAAACAACTGGAAATCCATACGTAAAAACTGAACTTGAATCTATACCTTGTATCATATATAAAAATTAAGTTAAAATGAATCATAGTCCAAAATGTAAAATCATAAAATGTCTAAAAGTAAACATTGGAGAAAATCTTCGTGACCTTGGGTTAGGCAAAGATTCCTTAGATACAATGCCAAACATGATTCATGAAAGAAAAAAATCCTTAAATTGGACTCCAGAAAAAATTTAAAACTTCTGCTCTTCAAATGACACTTTTAAGACAAGAAAAAATAAACCTCAAACTACAAGAAAATATTTGCAAATCATATATCTGATAAACCAAACCAAACCCATTGTTGTCAAGCCAATTCCAACTCATAGCAACCCTACAGGACAGAGTAAAACTGCTCCATTGTGTTTCCAAGGAGTGGCTGCTGGATTCAAACTGCCAGTTTTGGTTAGCAGCCATAGCACGCCACAGCTCTTAACCACTGTGCCACCAGGGCCCCATATCTGATAAAGGACTTACATAAATTATATAAACTTGCAAAACTCCATAATAAGAAAACAAACAACCCATTCACAAAATGGGCAAATGGTTTGAATAGACACTTCACCGCTGAAGATATACAGTTGGCAAATAAGCACATGAAAAGACAGTCCGTATCACTAGTCATAAGGGAAATGCAAGTTAGAACTTAAACGAGGTATCGGTACGCACCTACTAACATGGCTAACATTAAAAATACCATGTGTTGGTGAGGATGTGGAGCAACTGGAACTCTCACACACTGCTGGTGGGAGTGAGTGTAAAATGGCACAACCACTTTGGAAAACAGTATGGAAGCTTCTTAAAAAATTAAATATACACTACCATCTGATCCAGTCATTCTCTTCCTAGATATTTATCCAAGATAAATAAAAGCATTTATCCACACAAAGACTTGTGCATGAATGTTCATAGCACCTTTATTTGTAAAAGCAAAAGCTGGAAATGACCCAGATGCCCCTTGACAGGTGAAGGGTAAACAGGTTGTGGTATGTCCGCACAGTGGAATGAACTGTTGATACTTTAATGACATGGATCAATAATTATGCTGAGTGAAAGCAGCCAGATGAAAGAGTACATATCATATCATTCCAGTTACCTTCAGTTCAGAAAATACAAACTGATCTATAGTGAATTATATCTCAGTACTTAAAAAAGAGAGAAGCCCTGGGAGAAGAGCTGAGTGACCAGGGCGTAATCCAGGACCATCTTCCCCAGATTCCGAGGGTGGGACCCCAGTGTGGGACATCCTCTTACACACTCAATTTCACCAGTGAGGTCACCACAGCTGCTGGTGATACTTGGGCCACCTAGGACATCTGTGCCCCAGAGACTCACCCCTGGCCACCCTATGGTCAAGAGCAACCTCTCGATAGCCCCACTTCTCCACAGGATCCCCGCACCTGGCCACCTCCTCAGGATGACTGGTGAGTTGCTTCAGTGCCTCTGTCCCAAACATGCCCCATGCAGTGAGCTGGACCCAGGCATCCAAGGCCTGATGACCTCCCCAGTCTTTGGCCTGTTGTGGCCATCAGTAAGCCCCTACCTCCCTCAAAACAGTGCAGGGCTCCCCCAGGACGAGGGCCAAGGTCTCCTGCAGGCTCCCCATCCCCCACTCTCTGGGCTCCACCTCCCTTGGTCCCTCACTCTCGTCACATTCCCTCCTGCGCTACAGCCTCTGCACCTGCTGTTCACACTGCTTGGAATGCTGTTCCACCTGCTCCACAGCCTCCCAGCCCAGTGAACCTCTAAGTCAGCTCCATCATCCAGGTATCTCAGTGCACACTTTGCTTTCAGAAATCAGGAAGACAATCTTGCTAGTGCTTGGGGGACTGACACTCTGCCACATAAAAGGAGTGGGGAGACCAGAGCTTAGGCATCCAGGACCGTTATCAGCTAAGCAGGGATGTCCCATCCAGGCACTCACCTGTGGGATGAAGCCGCAGCAGGTCACAGTCTGGAAGCCAAACTTGGTCACATATTGGGGCTCCGCACACCCAGCCCTCTGGCCTGTCGGCAGAGATCCTTGGTCTGAAAGAGCTGCTCAGTCTTTCTGTTAAATGCTAGACTGCAGCAAAATGTTAGTACAGACATGGGCAGTACTTGCTAGAACATGGGTGGACTAAAGATGTGTTGCGTACAGTAGCAGTTAGTCAACATATGGATCAGCCACGACACTCCTGTGTCAAGCACACTGGACAGCAGAGCTGGGTATAAAAGGAGCCATGAGCCAATTCTACTAGCTTACCAGCCCCATAAAAATCCTCATCTAACAATCTCGTTCTTCAAGTGCAGTGTAAAGGGAGATGGTGTGCAAGTCAACTCATTATTGAAACACCATGATGAAGCTCAGTGAGCACTCATCTGGGGGGACCATGCGGCTGGCTCAAGGGACATGAAATCCATCTGATCATACCCACTGTGCTTTCCTTCTCCTTCAACTTCTCCCCGAGCTTCTGGTTGTAAAGGTGCAAATCTGCTATCTGTTCTCCAAGTTTTGATGCCTGACTGAGGAAAGAAGAAATATAGCCAATTATAATAATAAATTTTTTAAAAACCCAATGTTATGGATTGAATTGTGTCCCCCCAAAATATGTGTTGTAAATCCTAATCTCTATGCCTGTGGTTATAATCCTATTTGGGAATAGGTTGTCTTTGCTATGCTAATGAGACAAGATTAGTGTAGGGTGTGTCTTAAATCAATCTCTTTTGAGATATAAAAAGAGATTAAACAAGCAAGCGAGAGAAGCAGAGATGGGGGAAGATTGATGCCAAAGCACATGGAGATCTCCAAGGAACCAGGAAACAAGCCAAAGAGACAAGGACCTTCCTCCAGAGCTGACAGAGAGAGAAAGCCTTCCTCTAGAGCCAGCACCCTGAATTCAGACTTCTAGCCTCCTAAACTGTGAGAAAATAAACTTCTGTTTGTTAAAGCTACCTGCTTGTGGTACTTCTGTCCTATCTAATGTTGAATATTGTTCTACATTCCTTTAAAAAAGAAAAGATACTCTCCGTTTTTTAAAAAGTTAAACGTGAACTCCAGGTTATGACCCTTTCCAAAGAATAAAATGGTATAAAACCACTAAGTGGGAGTAGGCTGGTGGGTTCAAGAGAAGTCTTAGGAGTTACTGCAGATTAAGGAGCAAATGCTCAAAAAGTAGTGGTAAGTGAAAAATCAGTTCCCAGTTTTTGTAAAAACAATGTATATCATAGAGGAAAAAGACTGGGATGATAGTCATACACCAAAATGTTCATAGTGCCGTACCCGCTGATGGAATTACGAGTGCTTTTATTTCTTCTTTACACAAGCTTGTGTTTCCCACATTTTATACAATGAATGTGTATGATTTTATAATTAGAAAAAAATAAATAAATACGTCTCCAGATAACTGATAGAATCAGACCTCAGGTTGCCCAGAGAGAGCTGTCGTTAATGTACGTTAAGGTTTGGAGCAGGTGACGGTTTGAAACGTGCTTGTTTTACAGCAGCCTCGTTAAAGCCAAAAGTAACCTAAACAAACGTCCTATTCGAGAAAGCAGTAACTTCTGTCTCCGCTGAGAAGGGCGGACTGGGATCCTGGGCCCTGCCACTGGCTGGGTGGTGCAGGCGACACCTCCTCATTCTCTCTCTGTGTCTCTGTCTTCTGTGTCTCTCTCTTGCACATCCACACACGCACACAAACACACACTCACATTTGCACATGTACACACATGCACACGTGTACACGTGCCCACACATACGAGTGCACACACGTGCGCAGATATACACGTGCACACACGTGTGTGCACACACCTGCTCAAGCTCCTCATCTTCAGGTACTCCATCACGAACGCGGCCCCGCCTCCTGGCAGGTCGATCACCTTGACTGGCCGAGGCACCCGCACCAGGCCTGTGGCCTGAAGGGCCTCCAGGCTCGCCTTCTCCCCCTCGAACATCTGCCGCGCCTGCGTCCAGACACGTGTGTCAGCTCCACGAGCTCCGACCCGAGTAGGACCTCGGGAGCCAGAGAGCCCATGACCGTCAGTTGCCAGAAACCGACCAGGGAGCAAGGCGTTGCCCCGCAGGCAGTGGCGTACAGAGTGGCCCTTCGGATAGGAAGGGGCTGCAGGAACAAGGCTGAGCCTGGGGCCGGGTGGTGGGCAGGACGCCGACAGTGAGCCCCGCTGTGAGAGGCCAGGGCCGGGAAGGTGGGGCTGCGGGGAGCTGCTCCCGTCAGGGAAGGCCCACTGACACCTTGTGCGCTTACTGAGCGCCCAGCAGGACACCAGGTGACACTGTCAGAGGGGGTGACACCAGCAGGATTGTCTATTTGTGCAGTTTCAGCAGAAATTCGTTATTTTAAATAAAACTATCCTTGTAGTTAGTTAGAACAACAAAACATTTTTCGTAAGCCCAGCTCACACGTATTAGTACCCCTAGGAGGCTGAAACTCTATGCTATTTTACTATTTGTATCTAACTCGCCCTGATCAGAGAGCTATCATCATCACCCAACTACAGTGACGCTTTGAACCCATGGCTGTCCGCACGCCCTATGACACTCACTGTTGTTTTCGGGGCTGCCTGTGTTTTCACAGTAGATAATTTTGTCAAATTTTCTGGTGTTTTACCTATGATGTTGTGGTAATTAGTATTTGCAAACCCACGTCGAAATTTTTTGAGAATGAAGTCATAATTAAAGGAAGAGAAGGAGAAAAATCAAAAACAGTGCAAAAAACATGACTAAGGATTCTGTATGATCTGGTACAGGAGGAGGACCACGGGGTGGGGGGAGGGTGACACCAACCCTAGTGACGTCACTGATGGGCACCGAGGGTTCAGAGGGCAAGTGGGGGTCCTGGCTGGAGGAGCTTTCAGGGACCACCTGGAAGGTTCCAAGGCCAGTGTGAGCCCTGAACCCAAACCTGTTTCTGGTGGGCAGACTAATCCTCATGTGAAGGGTTTTGTTGTTGAAATTAGATTCCTCGGCCTATCCCAGCCCTGGTGATGTGGCCCCCTCCCCAGGATAGTCGCTGAGCGGACATGGGCCGAGCTAGGAGGTCAGCCATGGGCAGGCCTGTCATGTTGTTGGGGCTGCAAAATTCAGGGGGGTGGGGGGGGTGAGGCCAGGGATTCAGGGGTGTCTCTCTCTGAGAAGAGCTGGGGTGCCTCAGGGCTACTCGGGCTGGCTATAGACAAGGCAGAGCATTGGGTAGACCCGTTATGGGAAGAGGGTGGATCCAGGGGCTGCATATCTGACCCAGGGAGGGCCAGGGTGAGGCAGGAGGGCAGAGGGGACATTCAGTGGACAAGGAGGATTCGGTGCCCAGTGGCCTTGCCCCAAACCTCCAAAGCAGGACTCTGGGCACCTCCCTCCCTGGACACCCCATCACTGCCAGGTCCCACAGCACCTGCCTGAGGATGACTCCTCCGCCCTCCAGCTCCCCTCTCAGCCTCCATACAAACCTCATGTTCCCCAGGGTCAGGAGGGAGGACGTGGTGGCCACGACCTAGGGCGGACTCTGGGCTGCACGGCTTCTGCCCTCCGTGTCCAGAGAGGGACAGGCGGTCCTCCTGGAAGGCTCTGATGCTTCTCCCAGTCAAACTGTGCTGGCTCAGCCCACCCCTCAGGGCCCTCGGTCTTCAAAGGGTGGGGTGGGCTGCAGAGGAACCCCGAGAACCCTGAGGCGCTGGGGTAGAGTTGACCTTTCCCCAGGTGAAGTACAATTTGGATTCCAAAAGATCAGAACGCTTTTCAAGGCATAGTGCAAACTCAATCTTTCTCTCTCCCTGTGTCTCTTTCTCTGTCTCTTTCCTTCTTTGTTCTGTTTTTCTCTCTCCCTCTCCCTTTTTCCCTTCTCCCTCCCTTCTCCCTCTCTCCTACCCCTGTGCCTTGCCCCTCCTCCATCAGCTTGCCCACAAGACTGTCCACGTGGGTGGACCACGGTGTTCTCCAGGCCTGCGCTGACCTGCCGTGTGGCTGTGGGAGGCAATCAGCCTGTGGCCGTGGTCGTCCCTTCTGGGAGGGGTCACCTGGGCCTCCTCTCCAGGCCGCTCCAGCTTCCACCTCCCAGGAGTCTACACTTCTTGTGCAGCTGCCCTTTGGCCTGGCCTTAGGCCAGCCCAGACAGACCCATGGGTCAGTTGTTACCTCTGTCACCAGAGCACCTCCCATGTATACCCAGTGCTGGGAGGTCTTCTCACTGAGGGTCTGCCAGGAGATGAGATGGGGAGGAGGGGGATGGAGAGCAGACAGGCCGCCAGGGGGAGCCGGGAGGGCCAGGGAGGAGCAGGCCAGAGGCTTCTGGGGATGAGAAACACCCCCAACCCAGGCCACTTCCCCATCAGCAGGGTGGAGCACCACAGCCAGTATCAGCAGTCCCAGCTCCTGTTTGTCAGGGCCACGGGGCGCCCACTGGCACACCTCCAGGCAGCACGGAGCACACAGCACAGAGCACCCCCGCACAGCCGGCCACCGTTGCAGCCTCTTTTTACAGATGGGGAAACTGAGGCCCAGAGGGATGAGCTCAAGTTTCCGCAGCCGGGATGTGGCAGCTCCCAGCTCTGCCGCTAATCACCACTCCCTCCAACTAAGAGTCCCCATGGGGTGGAGCCCAGTCTCCAGCCTGGCTTGGGGGAGGGCCTCACTAGGTGGGCTGTGCAGGCATCCTCGGGGGGTGGGCACAGGGACCAGGAGGCCGGAGGAGCAGCATCCACGGTTGAGGGGTCTGAGGGGTGCTAGACTGGGGGTGACGAGAGAAGAAAGGAAATGAGGGCTGGTGCGGGATCCTCGGCCTGAGTGACTGCAGGGGGGCATGAAGGTGGGCTCGGAGTCAGACAACTGGGGGGAGAAAAGTGAAGTCCACAGCAGGTGGGAATTCGGGGGGAGTCTCCATGTTGGATGCGGGGCGCGAGCACATGGAAGAATCCAGTCCCCTGCCCTACCAGGCAGCTGGACCTCCAGGTCCCTCTGCAATTCCCTCCCAGCCCCCCGCCCCCCCCCCCAGCAGCTGGACCTCCAGGTCCC